CAGTCAAACTACAAGAAACAGAAATGGAGTATAATCCAGAATTGAATGAATTTGAAGAAATAGAGTTACCACATGGTCCAAAAATAGATGCCGACTGTGACGAAGTTTCACAGAGTAAGTGTAGTTCCTGTGTCGACCTTTGTACTTTCAAATCAATTTGGCTATTTATAGAAAGTCTTTTCACAGACATTTACTTATGTTGTGTGTGTTGTTATAACTGCTGTTGTCCAGAGAACTGTTGTGAGTCTTTTAAACGGTGTAATTGTATTTGTGATTATTGTGATAAATGTGAAGAAACGCCTTGGTACCACGACTTTTTTTGTCAGGGGTGTATCTTTCAGGATTGTGATTATTACGACAAATTGTGTAATTGTCCCTTTTACACTCCATGGTGTTGTGTACCTTTTCGTGTGTTGTTTTGCTGTAATTTCAAACATACCAGTTGTGAGTATTTTTGTGGGGATCATACTATTTGGGAGTTTATTTCAAAAATGTTCAACTTATTAGGAAAAGGATTGGAATGGTTTTTTAATGGTTTATTTGATGTGGTGACGTGGCCATTTATATTTGGATTTAAAGTTATTAGTAAATCGTTATGTTGTGAGTATTGTACGTGTTGTGGATGTGATCAGATATGTGCAGATTGTGTCGGATGCGTATCATGTGGGTGTTGTGGTGATACATACAAATATAAAGATTTTTATAATTATATTTGGGAATACAGATTTTTTAATGAAAAGTTGTGCTGTTTGTGCAAAAATGTTTTTTTGGTGCGGAATTTGTGATTGTCAATGTTTTTATTGTTTATGTAATGCCATGGTATGTGATCGTGTCCCAGAAATGTCGATTTGTACTGAGGACGCTTATGATGAGTTTTGTTATGCAGTAAAATGTGATTTATCGAGAAAGTGTTGTACTTGTGATTATGAATTGAATGAACGAAGATTATAAATTAATCATTAAAAAAGTTTGTATAGTATTTATTTGTAATAAATACATAACTACTTAATTAATTAATTTTCGTGTTTTAAATTTATAAAATGATTGTTTTATAATTTTGTATTTCGATTATTAATTGAATGAAATGATATACAACAACAAAAAATAAAAAACATAATAACAATACAGAGAAGTTTCTTTTAAAAACACAAAGACATTTTTTAACAACAATTTTTTTTAAATAACACATTGCTATAAAATGTGATTAAAACAATAAAATAATATATACGAAATACAATTTTTATAGAAGTATAACTTAAATAAAACTCTATATTCACATTCTCGTTTTTATATTATTTTTCAAATTATGTATTTGAAAATTTCATAATATGAAACAATATATTTTAATTGTTATATAATATTTAACAATAGTTCTTTTTTTTATTATTATGGGATTTTGAATCAATTGTAAAAATAAATAACAATTTATTAGTTTATTTTTTTATCTAATAAAAAACAAACTATTAATTTAAATAATAAATTTTATTATTATTTTATAAAATTAAATTTTTATATATTTAGTAATTAATTAATTTATATTTTCTTAGTGTTTTTAAAAGAAATTCTTTTATTAAAAAATCTAAAATGAAAAAATGTCAACAGATTGTTTTATTTTCATTTCATTATAATGAAAATAAATACTTTTATTATTTTATAATGATATAGTATATACAAATAGATTTTAAATACAATCTATTAATAAAATGATTTTAATCGAGATGGATTAATACCTTTAATTGTATTCGAAATATTTAATTTGTTTAACTAATTTATTACTCATTGGTTTATATAACGTATTAAAGTACAATTATATAACATATACTTTGATTTGTATGTATTGATCGATTTAATTCTTAATTACATGTTATTATTTAAAAATGTTTTTCAATAATCCAAAGATAAACAAATTAGAAACAATTAATTAAATTTTGTAATTGATTTTATAATTTAAATACTAATAATATATTCAACAATAATTGTAAATAAAATATATTTTTATTCAATTTTAATAAATTTTGGTTCTAATTGTTTTTAGTTTATTTATCAAACAAACTATAACATGAATAAAAACTTCCTTAACATTTACGAACAAAAACTTTTTTTAAAAAACACTTCACTCACCTTTATAATAACAAAATAATGATTTGCCAATTTACTCAAAATACTAAAAAAGAAGTGAGCAAAAACAAACCAATTTTGAATACTTTTTTTCCAAGTTGTTTTCACTTTCGAATAAAATGAAAAGAGTTTGTTTCTTTTTATTAAAAACAGTGTTTTTGGGTGTTTAAATATAAGTTTACAAATTGATAATTTACTATAAGATTAAAAACATTTAACTAAAATAAAGATCAAAATCAATATATAAAGCAAACTTTAACATAAAAATCTTTTTAATTGTTCTAAGTTTAAATTAAAGTTAAAAATAACTGATTTATAACACTCTTTTATATTTTTTAATTTGAAATACTAACAAAATCCATTTCAAATTAATTTATTAACACATGAACTCCTTGTTGTTCGCGTTATTAATTGTTTATTCACAAGCGATTCAATGGTGTTCTGATGATAAAGGTACTCTTTTTTGTAGCAGTAAAGAAGACATTATATGCGAACAAACTGGTTTCTTTACTGAAAAAGAAGTTATATATCTTCGAGAAAATATCGTGAAAATAGAATGTCATATCATTTCAACTCTTCAAATTCACGTGAGTGATGACATTAAATACATCGACTTTATACTCAATAACACCAATTTAAAGATACTCAACACAAACGACTATTATAAAAATGTAACCCGGCGATTTATTACTTTCTCTCAACAACAAAAAGGTTTAAATTCACACAAACAAAATTCGGGGGAATCGTGTGGTGCCACAATTAATTGCGAAGTTTGTTTATATGATTCCCCCGGTGGGGTATATGGTTGTTCCCGGTGTAAAGAGGGATATAAGGTTGATTTTTGTGGGCAAGATTATTTTTGTTATCTATATAACACTGGAACATGTGACCCCGCTTGTGCTGTTGATAACAACTTAACCTTAATTAATGAAAAATATAAATGTTGTATAAACCATTGCGCAATTGGGTCTTGTTCCACAACACAGACATATGGCTCTTGTTCTCAATGTGAAAATGGGTATGCATTGAACAACATATACAACACTTATAATGTGTGTAAAAAGTGTCATGTAAATAATTGTAAAATAAGCAACAAAACAAATCAAAATCTTTGTGTTGAATGTAACGCCGGGTATACTCTTAAAACGTTGACAGAATGTGCAGAATGTTCTGCAATTGCAAATTGTAAAATATGTAACATGACAACTTACGCTTGTTTGGAATGCAACGAGGGATTTTACGTTTTAAATAAAAAATGTCAAATATGTAGTGACACTTGTAAAGACAGTAAATGCAACACAACGACGGGGTATTGCTTTAATTGTATCGATAATTATGTTTTAGCACAAGAACCCAATTCATTGACTTGTATCCCTTGTAAAACTTTTGATGTCAATTGCAAGAAATGTGTTGTTGGAGGTGTCAGAATGTGTTATCGGTGTGAAATGGGGTATTACCCAATTTCCAATGGTTCCTGTATACCTTGTGATGCTACTTGTAACCCCAATGGTTGTAATACAGTTACTGGAATATGTTTAGTTTGTTCAAACACTATATATACACTTAACATAACAGCTTCTATTAAGTGTGTTAACTGTTCGAGTTTAGATTCTCGGTGTACTAGTTGTTCAACTAACTCAAGAATGTGCACTGAGTGTACTAATGGATATTACCCAAACTCAACTGATGCAACTCAGTGTATTAAATGTGACTTAACTTGTGAAAATGGATGTGACTCTAAAACTGGTAATTGTAAAACATGTACTAATAATTTATATACAATCAATTCAGATACACCAAGACAGTGTCAATTGTGTTCTCAATTTGATCGAAATTGTTTGAAATGTTCAACAACAAACCGAGCGTGCGCAATTTGTACATATGGTGTTTCATATTTACTTAACGGTTTGTGCAATCCATGTGATAGTACCTGTTCCACATGTGATGCGAATGGAATTTGTACTCAATGTAAAGACACGTATGTCCCATATACACCAAAACAAATTGTATGCCAAAGTTGTTTCTCTTTTGATCCCAATTGTATAATTTGTGCTTCAGATGGAAGTAGAAAGTGTATAACTTGCACTACTAACATGTACCCAGATATATCAACTGGTTATTGTATAAATTGTGGCTCGACTTGTGGTGGTAATTGTAATACAACAAATGGAATTTGTACATCATGTGCACTTGGTAAAGTGTTTACTGACCCCAAAACAACTTCTTGTGTTGATTGTAATAAATTTGATATAAATTGTATATCGTGTGATTCGAGTGGGGAAAGAATGTGTATCAAATGTGCCGAAAATAGTGGGACTTATTTATTAAATGGTAAATGTGTTAATTGTTCTACAACTTGTATGGTAAAAACATGCAACTCGACAACAGGATTCTGTTCAAAATGTATAACAAATTATGTTGTAACAAATCCAATTTCAAAAGCATGTGATAGCTGTTCTTCTTTTGATTCTAATTGCAAGACATGTTCTTCTGATTCATCAAGAAAGTGTGTTGAATGTAAACCAAATTACTATCCAAAAACAGAATATGATTTCACTTGTAAAGGTTGTGATTTAAGTTGTGGAAAGAGTTGTAATAACATGAATGGGCATTGCACTGGATGTTTAACCAATTACGTCTATTCCAATACAAATGCATTTGTTTGTGATCCATGTTCTTCTTTTGATTCAAATTGTTTGACATGTGATCCATCATTCAGCCGACAGTGTGTGACGTGTAGAACAAATGGGATGTATCCAGACGAGTCAACCAAGACCTGTAAATTATGTGACACCACATGTAATGGCAACTGCAATCAAACAAGTGGGTTATGCACCGGATGTCTCACCAATTACGTCTTTGAAGCGACTCAAAGTAAAGTCTGTGTGCCTTGCAAAACATTCGATGCAAATTGTAAAACATGTTCTTCTGATTTCACAAGAAAATGCGTCGAATGTGAAAATCGATTTTATCCAAATGAACTAGGATTGTGTGTGCCTTGTACTAAAATTGATGAAAATTGCAACTCTTGTGATTCAAAGAACAAGAACTGTTTGACATGTTCCGATCCCTATTATCTTTCCAATCAGAAATGTTTAAGTTGTATAGAAGGTACTTATAAAAGCACTGAATATTTATGTGCACGATGTTACAATGGCATCTTTTATTGTAAAAATTGCACCACAAAATCAGTTGGTATTCCCTTATGTAATTCTTGTTATTCTCCTTTTGCATTAAACACCAAATCTAACACGTGTATTCAATGCAGTTCCAACACTTATTATAACACCAACATCTGCAACACTAACACATACAATTGTGCAATACAAGTGACATCAGAAAAGTGTTTGAAGTGTACTGATAACAATTATTTGTCCAATGGGATATGCCAACCCGTTCAAAACTGTGTAACTCCCTCAACTCGTTCTATTAGTTCGTGTGATTGTTACAATATGATTTCAGTTAATTCAGACTGCAAAGCATTATCACTTAATTGTAAATACCAAATAGTAACAAATGGTACTATTTCTTGTGTAAATTGTCAAGATAACTACACTCCAAACAGTGGAATTTGTACTTCGACAAGTTTAATGAACAGAACTATTCGAAACCAGAACACTTTTCTGTGTAACAATGGGGAGTACCTTGACAACAATAATAGTTGTCAATTGTGTAATCAAAATACTTCAATTTGTGTGCATTACAACAGTGAAATAAGATCTTTAAAGTGCACCAACACAGCTATTATTGATATTGATACTTTGAAGTGTTCTTCTGATGAAAATTGCTCTTCTTATTCAAACAACTTCTGTTCAAAGTGTTCTTCTTCATCCACTGAAATTGTCAAAGGAAGATGTTCGACGTGTTCGACTTCAAATTGTGCATTTTGTGAAGGCAACCAATGTAAACATTGTCTTTCCAATTATCTGATGTATTCCACTAATACGTGTGTCTCCAAAGATCAAGTAAGTTGTATAAAGTCGAGTAAATATGGGTGTGTACAATGTAACGATGGCTTTTATCAAACAGATACTCTCAATTCAGAGAGTAAATACACTTTCTGTTTACCACTTTCTAAGACTAACATTTCTAATTGCAAACATGCAGCATATTCACATTCTTTGTGTTTAGAATGTCTTAATAGCTTTAAGCAGAAAGACGGCATCTGTTCTGAGTCGTTCAGTGATGACGTCTTACAAGAAGTTTATATTACTGAATTAACCAGTTTGGACGACAAAACAACGAAAATTAAAAAGACTGAAAAAGTGATTCAAAAAGTTTTTAAAAAAGTCACAAAATATTTAGAAGAAGACAACAAAAAAGGAAATGAAAACCTCCAAATTCATTTAAAGAGCGCAACAGAGACAAAGTGTTTAGACAGAACCAACAAAGGATGTCAACGGTGTGGGTTTGGGTATTATCAAGAAAAAGACAGTGATACCTGTCATAAGTGTTCATCTCAATGTGAGAGTTGTTATAATGAAACGTACTGTATTAGTTGTTTATATGGCAATTACCTTACCTCTTCAATGACTTGTTTAACACTGGGGGAGCTCACCAACAAGTGTCATTTAACATTACCGACGGGTATAGGCTGTGCCATTTGTAATGACAAATATTACAAAAGAGAGAAAGACTGTTTAGAGTGTGACATATCATGTGCGACGTGTGTGGAGAGTACTTCGTGTTTGTCTTGTAATGAATCGTATTACATGATACAAAATAGTGTGTCCAAATTATGTGTTTCGTATGACAATCTAACAAATTGTGTAAATAAGACTTCATCGGGGTGTGCCAAGTGTGACATTGGATATTACAGATTTGATTATACGTGTCACCCGTGTTCAGCAAATTGCAGTCTTTGTGACGACTCTGTTTCGTGCAACAAGTGCTTTTCTGATGATTTTGTAGTGATCAATTTGTCGTGTGTACATTACTCGCAAATCAAATTTTGTGTTTCAGCGTCTTCCTCCAAGTGCACTGAATGCAGTGGAAGACACAAACCTTCTGAAGACGGCGACGAGTGTGTTGATTCGATCAATTTGGGTGTTGTCATAGGCATTCCCCTTTCCGTTGTTATTGTACTAATCATTATAGTTTCTATTATTATAGTATTACTCTATTTGTTAGTACTGAAGAAGAAGGAAGAAGTGAAGATGAGGAACATCTGTGTCTTCCCCATGAAACGGTCGAACATTCAAATGTTCCAATTAAATGGGGAAACGCATGATTTGTGCTGCAACAAGAAGGTCCTCAAATTTGATTTGGATAACACTGAAGGGACACCCATCGATGTAGATGCTGAGGCAAGAGACTTAATTTGTATAGGAAATACGTCTAAAAATGATATGAAAGTCCAGTTCAGTGTGATAGAAGGCTGCGATTACTATCAAGTGAGAACAGTTCCTCCTCTTGTGAATTTAAAGAGGGGTTTTGCGTGTGAATTTGAGATATATATCAAACCGCTGTGTTCGTGTGAAATCAAAGAAGATATTATGGTCATCGGACTTGACATCAGAACGTGTAAACAAACGAACGAAAGGATCACTGTAGAAGCGAAGACGAAGCAATCGACCAAATTGAATTACAGAGAAGTGGAGGAAATTAAGAAGATTGGGGAAGGGAGTTTCGGCATTGTTTATAAAGGAAGTTTCAAAGGGAAAATCGTCGCGATTAAGAAGATGAAAAACGCTCAAGCAACAAAACAAGCAATCGAAGAGTTCAATAAGGAAGTTGCAATGTTGGACAAATTCAGAAATGACTTCGTCATACATTTCTATGGCGCTTGTTATATCCCAAGTCACATCTGTATGGTCACCGAGTTTGCTGAATATGGCAGCTTAGCCGACATGATATCGAAATCGGCACTTCGAAATTGGTTTAAAAATGAAGGTGAAGTTAATTAAAGACTGTGCGAATGGGATTGCTTATCTCCACGAGAACGGGATTTTACATAGAGACATTAAGCCCGACAATATCTTAGTCATTACACTTGAAGATGAGATCAAAGCAAATGGCAAATTGACTGATTTTGGAAGTAGTCGAAATATTAATATGTTGATGACTAACATGACATTCACTAAAGGTATTGGAACACCAAAATATATGGCTCAGGAAGTACTTTTGAAAGAACACTACAAGAAATCGGCTGATGTATTCTCATTGGCAGTCACGTTTTATGAAGCACTGGTGTGGGGGGAAGTTTACCCAAAAAGTGAATTCAAGTTTGCGTGGTCCGTTGCTGATTTCGTGACAAGCGGAAAAAGAAGACCATGTCTGGAAAATATGAATTGTGAGGCGTATGATATCATCAACTTGATGTGGAACCCAATCGCGGCGGAAAGACCAAGTATCGAAGAGTGCATAAATTTGATGGATAAATTATTTAACTCGTTGTGATGTGTTTTTTTTGTTATTATCAGTGTTAATAAAAATTTATTATTAATTAAATCTTTTGAGTGTCGAGTTGGAGGAAAAATCCGGTTCGTAAAGGAAAGAAAATAATTATAATAAAAAAATATTTTATTTTAGTTTTAGAGTTTTTTACATACAAATTTTTTGTATGTAAAAAAATTTGTTTTTTGGTTGAAATAATAAATTTTTTTTCTTATCGAGCCGGTTTGTTTTCCAACTCCACAAATAAATAATTATCATTTTATTTACATTATGTGACGTTTATCATTTATATAAAATAAATATAACCAAGTTAAATTAAGTTGGATTAAAAAGTGTGAATTTACAACTTTTGTCATTAAAAGTTCCTTGGAAGTAGTCTATATTAAATAAAATGTAAAAAGTGTCCCCCTTTGTAAAGTATCCCGAAGGAGCTTGGAATTTGATGGTTTTTTTTGCCTGTTGTTTTATTAATGTCACCTTTATATAGTAATTGATAGTCAAAAACATCACTTTGTTGTTTCTCTGCTGTAATTATCAAATTTCCTTTTATAATTGGACTCTTTAAATTTATTTGTACTTCGAAAGAGTAACTCTCATTATCTTCGTCAATCGAAGCTTTCACAACACTAACATCTTTTTCCCAACGATCAAAAGACAATATAGTAATTTGGGCAAAAGAAATGTAAAATAGGACATAAAAAATAATCATTTGACAATCTAGTATTTTTGAAAGGTTTATATATTAAATTATTATTTAACAAATTCAACTTATATCTTCACTTTTATTTGTTTTATTATGTGTTTATCAAATTTCATTTTAATATAGAACAAAAATAATGTTGTTGTTTATATTGAAGAGAAATAAACAAACAAGAAATCAATATTTTGTCGTACTTGAAATTGTTATTTTACATACTTATTGTTTAATTTGTCATGAAATAGTTTGTGTGGATTCAAACAGTTTGAGAAAATTATAATTATTATATAAAAAAATTACCAGATAATAATAATTAAAATTTAAATTTTTGTTTTCAAATGATCTTTATTAAATAATTATTGTTTTAAACAATAAAATAACAATTTAAAAATTTGAAGTTATTAAAAGCCCATCAATTTTACAATAACACCCAAATACTTATTTTCAAATAAGTATAACAAAAAATAAAACCTTTTGACAATTAAAACAATTGAAATTCCATTACTTTTGTGTTTCTGTTTTTTGTTCTAATCCAATTTAGCAAAAAACTTGTTTACAATATTTAAATTATTCTTGGCTTTGAAAAAATATGAATGGAATGTTTTTTTTGTTTAAACACAATAAGCAAACCGTAACAAAACATACTTGTTATTTTTTCTGACAAATTCATTATCGATTTAAAAAGAAAAGTGAACTAATAAAAAATTAAAATGATTTCATTAGCTCTGCTCATTTTATGTGTGAACTCGATTAAAAAACACTACAACTTGGAATTACAAAACTGCCCCCCAACTTTGGAACTTGAAAAATCATATTTCTTTCCATGGGAAGACGATTTCCGATTTGTATTTGAAATATTAACAAAACAGAATTTATCGAAAGCAATAATCGATTTTAGTGCTGAAAAATTTGAAGGAGAAACATACAAGAGTTTAGATAAATTAAAAACTTTTGATTTAATTAAAGCTTTCAAACGAGAAAATGAAACAAAACTTCAACCAGGAAAATACGTAATTGGTGTAGACGTACCAAAAACAAGACTTCCTTCGGGATTTACTTATCAATACGACATTAAAACAAAGTTTGGTGAAGATAGTGATGATTCTACTGATACTTATCAAGCAAAATACCCTCCAAATTGATTAATGCTTCTTTTTTTAATACAACTGAATGATAAAATGGTAATACAAAATTTAAAATAAGAATTTGAATAGTATATTAAACTATTTAAAAATAATGTTGATAGATTATTTATATATAATGAATTATAAAATTAAAATATACAAGTTGATAAATATGCATTTATTATAGAAATTTTTATCCAAATTATTTTCAAGATAAAATTTAAATAAAACTCGAAGCTAATAAACAATATATAATCACGATTACACAATTCGTTACTTTATGTTAAATAAAATTTGAAGTTTTTTATTAGTTATAACTATAATATTTTTTTGATCTACTCAACTTTAAAATTAGATAGATAAATTAATTATTCATTGCTTTGTTGAATTCATTTGAAAAATATGATGAGAATTCATCATAAGTAATTTTTCCATTTTTGTTAACATCCAAATTATTAAACAATTGATCCAAACCATCACTGTCTCCCCTTTTCATAACTCTTTTAAGCTCATACTTGTCTAAAGTTTTATCACAATTTTTGTCTACCATGAAGAAGACATAGAAACATAATCCTTTTATCTTGTCATTTCCAAGTGAAGTTGGCAAGAGCTCTGCAATATTAGAAAATTCTCTTTTGGTGATAACTCCATCACACCAGTTAAAAGCACCTTTTCCGTCTGCGTAATAAAAAAGAACATAAACAAAGTTTCAACAATCTTTTTAGCAGCGCTGGTTAAATTATCAAACTTGTAATAAACAACCATGCCTTCTTTAAATTCATCTTCCGAAATTGTTTCTTTTTTGTAGTTGTCCAAATAATCAAATAAGGTCACTTCGTCTACCATACTTTGTTTGAATTTATTTGTGTGTAGTTGGTTTTTTACAGACATATATATTAAATAATACAAATTATTAACCCAATCATTTAATTTGTTTATTTGTTGTGTGTAGATTATAAATTATTATTGATTGTATTTATTACACAAAATATGTAATTAAAAAATACATAAATTTAATAATACACATAATAATAATTGATTATATTATATTTTCATTTAATACAATATTTTGAAGTGTAGTTTGATTATAATAAATAACATTAAAAGTAATTATTTCAATATATTAAAATTAATTATTTAAAAAAATATATTTGATTGTATATTATATATTTGTCTAAAACAACTATTTGTGTAACAATCATGATTTATAATCATCTTTGATATTCCGTGTATTTAAGAACTCTCTCTATTTAGCGTTTCGTTCTATTTAATGCCAATAAAAAGTTCAATTAAAAAAAATCTATTTTGAATTTTATAAAATAATCGAATTTTTATCAATAAAACTTTTTGGAAATAATGATATTAATCAAAATTTAATCAAAAAATTTAATTTAGCATTAAATACAAGAAATACTGTTATTGTTATTTATTAAAATAATGTAAGTAATCAATTTGAAAGATTAAAATGTTAATACATAACAATATTTATATTAATGTTTAATAATTATAAAAATTTTATAATTATTTTTTTCATAAAAAAATGTGAAAAAACAATTAAACCTTTTTATAAAAATAAATGTTTAAATATAATTAAACCTTTAAAGTTGAGCTTTTAATGCGAATATAACATCTTTTATCGACAATCTTTCTTTTTGATCTTGACACCAACATTTTTCTATTGTTATATAGAGCATATTAGGCATATTTTCTGGTTTATCCATTCGATTTCCTGAGTTCACAAACTCTGCGATTCTCCAAGGGTATTTGAAAATATCTTTCGGGTAAGCCTCCTTCCACCCAAATATTTCGAACATAGTGACTCCAAACGAAAAAATGTCGGCCGATCTTTTATATTTCTTTTGGTTTAAGACTTCAGGAGCCATATAAGTAGGTGTTCCAATACCTTTTGTAAATGTCATGTTAGTCATCAACATATTAACATTTCGACTTGATCCAAAATCAGTCAATTTGCCGTTAACAATTTCGTTATTTTCATTCTCACTTTTGACACAATTGATTGAATCATTGGTGTTGTATTCGAGTGAGAATATAAGAATATTATCAGGTTTTATGTCTCTATGTAAAATCCCATTATCATGCAAATAAGCAATTCCCCGTGCTGCATCAAGACATATTTTTACTCGTAACTTCATTTTGATATCTTCCGATTTTTTGTGTCTCATTAAATCGTTAAAGGAGCCATATTGTGCATATTCAGTGACCATACACACCTTTTTTGGATAAACACTGCTCCATAAAAAATGACAATATACTCGCTATTGATT